CAAAATAACAGGAATAAATGAAGGAAGGCCAACTTGAAGGATGGTATGTGGGAAAGAAACTGAGAGGCAAGTCAGCAGGAGACATAACAGAGATGGAGAATGCCGCTGAAACCATCACTAAGCGGCAGGATCACAGGGGAGAAGTGTCCAGGAGCTTGAGTCAGGAGAGACACAGGGAACTTGTTTGACAGCAGCCTCATGATGGGGCCCAGAGGAAAGGAGCAGTAATAAATGGGGCACTGGTGGTTTGAGGTAACAAGGCTTTGAAGATTTGAGCATCAAAGAAAGAACTAAGATTTCAGACCGATGACAGGGCCATGAGAGCAAATGGGTGGGCTGTAAAATGTGTCCTTAGTGTCACATGTGGCTAAGACAGTGGGAACACTCATCAGGAATCCTTCCTGAGGAAAACCTATAGCCCACAATTCCAGGCATCAGTGGGGTAGGAGGGCAGAGGGGGAAATGTGCACATTTCATATTGAGGATTATGGCAAAGGATATTCTGGGGACCACAACACTTCCAGGTTTAACACACAATCCCACTTTGAAATTCCTGGGGAGAAGTTTTTGTCAGGACAGAGTCCAGCAGACACATGAAGACCTCTGTAAAGGACTGGGGAAAGTGTGAGCAGGGGGACAGCAAGGTCCCTCTGCCTCAGGCAGTGACATAGCAGCAATGTGTGACTAAATGATCTAAACCAAGATCATTCCAGGTTATTCTAATGGACAAGTGCAAGGGCAGCAGGGTGTCACTGTCAGGAGCTGGAGGCACAGTGATGTTTGTAATCTCTCTCTCTCTCTCTCTCTCTCTCTCTCTCTCTCTCTCTCTTTCTCTCTTTATAAGTATTTGCCATAAGCAAGGACCATCTTCTAGAATAAGAACCAACAGAGTAAGTGTCCAGAGTTGCTGATTAGATAAGGCTTTCCTCTGTGGAGGGGTTAAAACATATTAAACAATAGATCTCCCAGTGTGACAGAAATTGCTGTAAATATGTTTCACTGATGAAAAGATGCAACTCTCCAAATTCAATTGAAACATAGACATGGTGTTCTAGTTGATTCCTTGCTAGTCAGGGAAATATACTCCTAACCCAGTTGTGAATTTTGTCACACTTGGTTTCAGGCCTTGCACATGGTCTGTCTTGCCCAGTGTCCCGTGTGCATTTAAAAAGAATAAGCATGCTTTCTGCTGTTTTAGAGAAAGTTCTAGAAATGCTAGCCAGGCCAGCAGATAACCATGCAGTTTGAGTTTTCTCGAGACTTGTGCATTTTCCCACCTGTAGTTATATCTTTAAATTATTATAATTAATTGTGTGTGTGTGTGTTATGTGGACAGGAGGTTGATGTCTATTGCTTTCCACATTATTATTTTTTATTATTATTACTATTATTATTATTATTATTATTATTTTGGTTTTTCAAGACAGGGTTTCTCTGTGTAGCCCTGGCTGTCCAGGAAGTCACTCTGTAGACCAGGCTGGGCTTGAACTCAGAGATCTGCCTGCCTCTGCCTCTCAAGTGCTAGGAATAAAGGCATGTGCCACCACTGCCTGGCTCCCATCTTATTTTTTGAGATGTGGTTACTCACTGAAATTGGAGCTTGCTGGTTTGGCTAGACTGACTAGCCAGCAGGCCCTGGGGACCTGCCCATCTGGGAAGAGATGCAGAAAGTGTTTGAGGAGTTATAGGTAGTCACCACCACTCTCAGCTTTTCCATGGGTGCTGGAGATCTGAACATGGGTCTTCCTGGCTACGTGGCAGACACTTACAGTACCGACTGAGCTACCTCCCCAGCCCTAGATATGTTTTTGCTGGCAATGTTCTGTTGAAGACAAAGTCTCACATAGCCCAGATTGCCCTCAAATTCAAAATGTAGTTGGGAGTGACCTTGAAGTCTTCATCCTCATGCCTCTACCTCCCAGTGTTAGGATGAGAAGCAGGAATGCACACCATAACCCCTCCACAGCAGCACTTAGACAATGACAACCCTGGACAATGTCCCAATGTCCACTGCAAAGAAAATGGATGGATAAATGGTGCAGTAGGCACACACAGTAAGCACATGCACATGAGAACTGGCTGTGCAGGGCGAGGAGATGAAGCCAGGCACAGCAGTACAGCACACACGGTGGACCCACATAAGCTAGAGGAGGAAATGGATACCCTCAACGAAAAGTGGTAACTTTTGGGTACTGGTGACATAGGCAACTGTAATCAGAGAGAAAGTGTATGCAGGCATGCTGACGGTCTGTGTGTTCTATCTGTGCATCACCCATGAGGCCAGCAAATAGCAAGAAATGTCAGGCAGGATTAAAGTAATGGAAACTCCTACCTGCAAACAGCAAGTGTAAACAGTACATCTGAGTCAAAAGTGTTTTCAAATCATCTAAATCCCAGTGCAAACTCCGGTATCTGATAATTCCACCCTTCCCTTTGGTATTATATCCTGAGCAGTGCGCTTCCAGTTGTGGCTCAGCAAATCAATTTGGGGAGTTGCAACTGGCATTTTTCTACAGATTGAACAGAAGAGACTAGAGTAGAGCAGCATGAGCTCAGGAGTGGTCTTGTGTAGCTTTAAAAAAAAAAAAAAAAAAAAAAAACCCTGTGTGCACACCGTGGACACATACCAAGGATCCTCAGGTTTTTCCCTACGAAGATCAGAATAATTCCAAGACCAGCTAGTGGCTTTGTGCTGATGGATCTCAGTTTGTACGGGTGGCAGGAGGCCCAGAGAATGAAACACTGGACTCGCAGAGGTTTCTAGTGGAAAAGGGCCAGTGTCTACGAGTTATTGCAGCAGAGAGGCCACTTCTATCCTGTAGAATGAGTTATCTACGTGGGATGGACCCGAGGGCTCCCTGCTCAGATCTAACTCCCTGGGGGGTTGATGGCACCACAGAATGGGTGTCAGTTGCAATTACCAAGAAGACGATGTCATGCCAGGCAAATTCCTAGTAGCAGGGGACACCGGGTCCATCAGTAGGTGGAAGGGCTGAGGGAAGGAGGCGGCATCACCCACACAGGGACTTCTGTGAGAGGGTCAGGCTGAATACAGGAAGCAGCCTGTCATGGTCTGGACACTTCCTCAGGCTCTGGGCTGCGCAGGGGTCCCCAGTTGCCTTGTGGCTGGCTCTGGTGTAAGTTCTGTAAGGAATAGGTACTATTGTAGATGGCCCCTCAACCATGAAGGTGGGTAGGCTCCCAGGAAGCTGAGCAGTAGAATTTGGTCAACTGTGGAAGTGGCAGTCTTGAGTTTGATAGGCCCCCAACATGTCAAGACATCATAGCATACAGAAAGCAAATAAACATTATTAACACAAACAGAAATGGCAATACACGCCCACAGAGATGAACTCAGGAATTCAACACCACCCTGACTGACAGCTGGAAATGAGGGCAGGGCCACACATTGATGGGAAGACACCACAACTCAGTTTATTCAGACAAAAACATCAACTAAGAACCAACGAGCACACAACAGCAATGGGTCTAGTGCACACAACACTGCAGATGAGCCTTGGCCACACAAGCGAAAGAAGCCAGACATCGTAGAGTCCAATATGAGATCCCAGGCATGATGACCAGGAGCTAGCCGAACTGGTCTCCAAGACTCACGCTTGAGCTGATGCTGTCCTTGGGAGGAGGTGGAATGGGAAGACTGGGAGCTTTGGGTGATGTCCACATATCAGAGGGGCTGTTCTCTAAACTCACAGGTTCAAAAGCCTCAGGTCAAGCATTCTGCCCTAACTGAACTTCATCTTGACCACAGATCAACACTGGAAGCAGAAAGACAAAAGGCCAGCTGAGTGGGAATGGGGAAAGCACAGTGCTTTATTTTCCTTTTCTGGCTTCTGGGTGGGGGTGGGGATAGCCTGTCAGGGGCATCCCAGCCATTCACTTTTTCTGACCCAGAAGAGAACAGCACAGCAGCCTTGTTCAGTGCATCACGGGGGCCTTGCCCTGATCTCTACTGTTGTCGGCACATCTTGTGGGTGGAGCCATGTATGCAACATGATGGTAGAACTCACATCTGACAGGTGTATCTGCTGCCTTCCTCACCGAGGCCTGTGTTCCACTTGGCTCCCAGGTTCTGGCACAAATCTCCCCACCAGGGTTATCTTGCAACAAGGATAGAGCTCCATTGTCAGTGCTGGTGACCCAGTCAGTTAGTGGAGGGCAAACTGAAACATGGCAGATGGGGTCCTTGATGCCCTTAGAACTCTAGGGAAGGCCTGGAACATCCAGGGTTCAGAACCCAAGCCTCTGTTTCCTCCTCCGGTACTATACTGGGGCTTCATCTCAGTTCCTTTCCCACCAGCACCCTGGGATTCCCAGCAGCTCTATGTTTAATGGTGGTTTGCCTGTAGGAAGTCAGGTAAAGACAATGCTGGCCCTGTGGCGCACCTCCTTCCTGACATCCTCATTCAGCTGGGATGGGAAATTTGTACCATGGAGGTGGCGGCTGTACCGACTGGAAGCTTGGTGTGTTGGTTCCAGACTTCATTAAGTTCTTCCTTCATCTCTACAGTCCCCAGGGCTACCCAAACAGGGACCTCAGCTTCAGGGCCTAGGACAAGCTGGCTGAGGGCACAGGGCCCAGCTCTTCCAAACCCACCTGGCTGGTGGGGACAGTGAAGAGACAACTGGGACCATGACACGGGATTTCTTGGGTGTCTCCCATGTTCTGCCCTTTACCCAGTAGAATCTCACAGAGGTGGACACAGCATGTTGTTCTCCCCACGCCACCACTGGGTATCTCCAGGTTGCCTGGTGCTCCCTACAACCTAACTGCAAGGCAGATGGGGTGAGGCACCCTTAACCCATGGTTTGTGGCCTTCAGACAATGAGTCAGGGGACCAGTTTTGCTAGAAGCCTCCTGGCAGCTCACCCTATTCTACAACTTTGCAAGGCTGCCCATCACTCCCGCTGGACTAGAGAGTCCCTGGTCCTTGTACAAGATGTGCTCAGGGGGGGACTGTGGCCTCAGCACAAGACTATGATGAGAAGTCTTACCTTCAGTCTTTTAATCCCAGAGAGGTATACAGAAACATACAGAGATATCAAGAAAGATCCATGAGGGGACTACAGCCCAAGGACCTGGACATAATTTGGCACCATCACAACCCTGAGACTCCCAATGCTCTTGCCCTCCTGGGGTTTCTCGTCCCTAGGAAGTGCTCACCACAGAGCCCTGTGACCCTGAGGTGGATGCAGGGCTCCCATGGCACCTTCAGTCTCGCTGTGAGGGCCTACACTAGCTCTAGTTCTAGGACCCACCCACATAGCACAGTGCTCTGCTTTTTCCCAATTCACCTCAATCTAAACAAAAAAGAACCACCTACGAGTCAGAGAGCAGGCCAGCCTGGAGGGTTGAGGGAGCCTGTCACGGTAGGGGAGGGGGTTGGCCAGCAGAGGCACAGTGGGAGTTTCCTGAGTCTGATGATTCCCACTGGATGGGGGGCTCTTGGTGCTGAAGGGGATGGATTCTTGTGGCCTCATAGGACAACAGAGACCAACACTGGGTCATTCTCTAAGACACAGCTGGGTGTATGCTGTCTGTAGGCCAGGGGATGACTGTCACTTGCTGTGGAGAAACTTTAATGGGAGGGGGGGGACTCGGCCTGCAACTGTATCAGCCCTCATTTATCCCCAACCAGGTCCATGGCCTGACTAGAATCAGGGCCATCTTCCAGCTCCCAAGAAGCAGCATCTCTCTCCTAGGTGTCTCACAGTAGGTTTGGAAGTTAGGAATAACTGACAAGTAGCATGGTCCTACAGAGTCCTGGAGCTGGACCAAGCAGGCCTGTCCTCTGCCAAGTCCCTAGATCATACCAGCCAACCAGGGAGGCAGGAAGAGGCCCACAGTGCCCAGTAGGCAGACAATGATGAACATCCAGAGGAAGATTCGGTCAATGACCATGGCCACGTACTTCCAGTCCTCTTTCACCTGCAAACACAGACATGGGTCACTGTAGCTCTCAGATCCCTCAGGCAGCCAGAGAACCTTCTGGAAGCTGGCGCTATGAGCCATAGTTTCTGCCTTTCCCATCAGACACACATCTGCACCCCTCCCTGTGGATGGTGACAAGTAGAGAAAAAGCATGTCCAGCTGTGGTCAGAGAATCTGCTGGGGCAGAGCAGCTGCTGCAGAGAAGAACAGAGGGAGATACCATATGGGGTGGGCACCTACAGAGCTCGGATCTAAGGCTCAATGTGTGGGGTCTTCGAATTCAGACTCATTTTAATGCTTTCCGGTGGTCCACCCTGGCACAAGAGACTTGAGGTTCGTGCTGTACTCTAGCTGGTCTTAAGCAGCTTAGCAGGCTGCCGAATATCATACTTTGGACCAGCACAGGGCCCATGGCTTCAGGATGAGGTTTGTCTTGAGTGTTCTAAAGCTGGCGGCACCATGGAGGCTTGTATCCACCTTCCCACAGTGCAGATGTCAAAGGTGGATCCCAGGGGCTGGAGAGATGGCTCAGTGATGAACAGCACTGGGTGCTCTTCAAGAGGTCCTGTGTTCGATTCCCAACACCCACCTGATGGCTCACAACCATCCATAACTCCAGTTTCAGGAGATCTGACATAGTCTTCTGGCCTCTCCTGGCACCAGGCATGTATGTGTTGCACAGACATACGTGTAATCAAAACATTTGTACACACAGCATAAAATTAAGTTAGCTTTAAGAAAAGGTAGATCTCAGAGAGATGTCAGCCATGTGTTCTAGCCCAGAAGGTTAGTGCCAGATCATGCTGGGTAATGGATTGATCGCCAAAGCCATCCCACAGTAGCTAAGTGTCCAAAAGCCAGAGCTGAGTCCACACTTGTGCCCTGGCCTGGCCCTGACCATGCAGAGCCACCTCTTACCTGGACAGGTGTCCACAGGCAGCACAGCCAGCCTGAGCAGGCCCTGGTATGGAGACAATGATGCTAGGAGATGTACCACGGAGGAAGGTCAGGGACAGAGGGTGAACAGTGGCAACAAGCACACATAAATGTGTACGTCCAACATCTGTGATCACTCAATCCTCATTGGACCATGCTTTCACATACGGTGACAGTGAGGTGCAAATGACTACTGCCTCTGTCCACAGGTTCTCCTGGATCGCACAAAGTGCACTCTAGCTTCTGACAGGGCCTGATGTAAGGTCGCCACTTCCTCAAGTTGTTCCCACAAGCAAAGATTCGGGGAACTGATGCCTGGGCCTGACTAGGACTGAGAACTAGCATTGTGTTGAAGACAGTGTCCGCCTGCAGATCTGACCTTGTACTCCAGGCGGGGCGATTGTCACGCCACTGTCTCACTCCTTCCTCCTCACTGCCCTGTGAGCCCGTCTGAAAGGGCCCGTGATAACCCTGAGGCTTGCTCAGAGCTGCACTGCGGACAGGGCGTGAAGGGGGAAACTGAGCCCGTCTGTGCACATTCGGGCAGCCGGGAGTAGGATGTGGCAAACAGAACTCAAGCCAGCTGAGGATCATTTGGACAGGCAGCCCCAGCTGCAAGGGCTTCTACCCTGAGGTTTCAAAGCAATCACAGGTGTCTTGTTGATTACCTTACCCAAGAGTTAGCCATGTTCACTTAGGAGACTTCAGGATGAATAGATCTCTGCTAAGAAGCTCCTCAGGGGCTCCTCAGGGCAGATGGCTGCTTGGTGTCCCTCTTTCCCTTCTGTGCCTGGGACTAAGCCTCCAAAGATGAAACACCACAGTCATGTACCAACGCCCTGCTATCCTGTCCCTATTAAGTCTGAGAGCTTACCAGGCCCAGAACCAGGTCAGGCAGCTGCAGCAGGCCAGTGGGGATGGAGGAGGTCACGAGTCCCAGCGATGGGACTCTGCTGCAGATGCACTGGTTCCAGAAGGATTTCGATTAAACTTGTCACGTCCATCCTCCCTCAGCGACCTCATCGCAGTGCCTGGAGTTCTTCCTCCCCCCTCGTGCTGCAGCAAGACACAGCCGCAGAACCAAAATTTCTCTGCAGTCTGGTCTCTGGGGTCCATAATATTCCTGAGACCTCTTCACAAGTCTCTGAGACTCAATGGAAAGAGCAGAGACCTATTCCTGGGACTTGGGAAATTAGCCTCCTCTCTTTCCAGGGCTTAGCAGCTCCAGGAGATAAACCACAGAGGTCTAGGAATAGGCAACAGGTAAGCCCCAGGTCACATAGGAAGATGAGCAGAAGGCTAGGTGTGGTGGCACATGCCTTTAATCTCAGTGCTCAGGAGACAGAGGCAGGTGGATCTCTGAGAGTTCGAGGCCACCTTGTTCTACAGAGTGGGTCCAGGACTGCCAGAGCTACACAGAGAAGCCCTGTCTCAAAACACACACACACACACACACACACACACACACACACACACACACACACACAAAGACCCAACAGAGATGGGATGGAGGAGGAGGCCTCAGCCCAATTGGAGGAGCCATTGGCAGGAGATACTGTTGAAAAAGGAAGATGAGCAGAAGCCAGCAAAACCAAGGTCCCAGACAGGACAGTGGCAAATGCCAGCCCAGGGCAAGGTCAATATAAAGGACAGGTGCCAGAGACATTTCAGCTGGCACAGCAGAGACAAAGGTATGGCAGCCCAGGCCTTCCCCTGATGACCTCTTCATCTGACCACTCACTGAGGCTCTGATTCTCATACCTCAATCTGGGCCCTCTCTTAGGCGGAGACAGATTTGGGAAGCAGCTTGCCTAGCACCAGGAGCCCTGCACCTCAGAACCACCTGAGCCCAGACCCCTGTCCTGGAGACCTTCATGTGTGACAGCCAGACAAGGATGAAAAGAAGACGAACCCATAATGCCTGGGTGGCAGGGTCAGGCAGAGCTGGCACTGCTTCACCAGAGCTACACTCTGTGAAAAGCGCAGGAACACCTGTGTTGGGTCAGGAAACCAACACCTACAGAGGGACACGGACATTCCTTTTCAGACCTCTGTAGACTCGGAGCTTGAAGCATGAAGAATGAGTGCAGGTAGGCTAGCTAAGCACCAGCTTTCCATGGCTCTGAGTTCCTGAGGGCCTTGTGGTGGGGCAGGCATTATGGCCTCACTCCACAACCCTCCAGAGGACTGATGGGGTGGGGTGAGCACAGCTCCTGGCAGCCCCACTCTCTTCTCTATGTCCTTTCAACCTTTCTAGGGTTCAAAGAACCACCCTTCATCAGGTGGAAACCCAGGGGAAAGCTGTTCTTGGGGTTACAGGGCAGTGGCAGCAACCAACTGCGTTTTGAGGAAGGCCAGTGTGAAATCTTGCCGGTCACCCAAGCATGACTGGACTGGAGTTCCAAGTAGCCAGGAAGAGTTTGAACACATCAAAGGAAGTCCCCGTGGGTGTTAGGATGACAGTGCTGGAAATGGTCTTTCAACCTACTGCTCCAGGGCTCATGAGTCCTGGCACCTGGATGAAGTGACGGAACCTGTTTATTCCCCACCAGCTATACTGGGCCTTGCCCAACCCCATCGTGGCCTGGGAACCTGTAAAGGATGCTAGGCAGACTACGTTACGCATCCTCAAGGTGTGCAGCTTTCGTCTGGGGCCTTGGTTTCTGGATGGTGTGTGGGAAACGCAAGACATCTCATCCCATCTGGGCAGGGAGACTTCCCATGCAAAGCCACTAGCAAGGACTTACCGAAAAATCTGTGTCTTCTGCCTTGAGGTGGTCGGCAATGTACTGAACACCCTCTACTGCCCGAGTCAGGGCTGGTGACAGGGGCAGGTGCTGGGGAGGTGCTTTGGTACCTCGGGCCTTGAGCACAGTGACTGGGGACACAGGAGATGGTTCCTTACAGGTGCATTTGCATGGAGAAGCCTTGTCTGACGGTGGGAGCTGGGATGGACGGGCCTTCAGGGAGGCTGGGGAGCCAGTTGGCTGGCTGTCAGCCAGGGAGGCAGCCCCATCTCGGGACACACAGTACTGGATACTCCGAGACCGGCAGCGGATACCACCCTCTACTGCTTCTTGGGAGCTGGGCACATGCTGGACACTCAGGGACCTGGCTTTGGTGAGTATTGGCACCCCAGTACTGTTGGGTGGGTGACAGGGGCCAGGTGATGGACAGGGACTGGACTTCTCAACCTCTGTTGTCTGCAAATCAGGGACCTTGTGGGAGGGTGACTTGCATGCAGGCTGGGTCTCCACTGGTGTGTCCATGGGGTTGCAGAAAGACGGGGCAGGTGGCAGGCCTTGGTTGCAGATGTCACTCAAGATGCCAGGCTCATTCTCAGGCTCTGGCCAGAAACGGGGGGCATTGGCCATCTTGTGCATGGACTCGATAAGTCTCCGGCAGTTGTCCTTGACCACGGACGGGCGCTTCATGAAGAGGAGGCGAGGCACGATGTCCAGGAAGACCCTGCGCACCCAGGCAGGCATGGTATGCGTGCGTGGTGAGCGGTGGTGGACGTTGAGCACAAAGACCGTGATGACAATGGAGAGGGTGACAAAGATCATGGTGAAGAGCAGGTACTCGCCGATGAGTGGGATGACCAGCGAGGTGGAAGGGATGATCTCGGTGATGAGCAGCAGGAAGACGGTGAGCGAGAGCAGCACCGAGATGCACAGTGTGACCTTCTCACCGCACTCGGACGGAAGGTAGAAGACCAGCACGGTGAGGCAGGAGATGAGCAGGCACGGGATGATGAGGTTGATGGTGTAGAACAGTGGCAGCCGGCGGATGATGAAGGCATAGGTGATGTCAGGGTAGACCTCCGCGCAGCATTCGTACTTCCTGGTGTTGTAGGTGCCCACGGCATCCACAATGACCCACTCCCCACTTTCCCAGAAGTCCAGCTGGTCCACGCGGCTGTGCATGCTCACCAAGTCAATCTTGGCCTTGTCATAGGTCCAGGACCCGAACTTCATGGTGCAGTTCTGCTGGTCGAAGGGGAAGAAGGTGACATCAATGCTGCAGGAGCTCTTATAGATGGCCGGGGGTGTCCACTGTACCCGCCCATCATAGAACAGGTGGGCTTTGGTCAGGTGGGTGACTGCAAAGTCCCCGTCCGCACTGGCAGGAGGAGGAGAAAGACAGCAGTGAGGTCCTACCCATCCCTACCCTACACCCATGAACATTCTTGCAGAGAAAGCCTCCCAGCCTGACCAGCCACCCCACCAGCCACACGCAGAGCGCAGGATCGTGTGGAGTGGTGTGTGTAGCCTGGGCCATCACTCACCCATGTGCTTTAGCTGTGAGTCGAGGTGGCATGTGGTTCAGAGGACAGGGCCGAATGGTTAGTGGGCAGTTAGTGTTACAGCTCTTATTCATTATTGCTGTGAGGGCACAGGGTGGGACCAAACTCCTGGCTCTTCTCCTGAGCACCCTCCGTGCAGATGGGCCTGAGTCACCCCTGTACCTTTGCTGATTGAGGCACCATGGGAATTTCCCTTTGGCTTTCACTAGTTACCACCTGTACTGAGGGGAGGTACTGGCGCCTGCCCTCTTCAGTTCGGGAGCTGACAACTGGCCCTTTAGTGTGCTATAGATATCCCAGAGGTTCCTGCAGGACCATAACAAGCCCACTGTGTGTGGAGTATGTGTCCACAGGGACGGGGCAAGTGGGCCCAGAGGCCTGATCCAGGAGAATGGGTCCCTGATGGGCCCAGGGGTAGAGGGGGTGGGACAAGCAGGATTTCTTCATCACCCACAAAAAAAAAAAAGGTCTCACACCAAGCAGTTGCTCATCAGGTCCCTGTTTAATGGATAATCTTGCGCTGGAGGCCAGTGGGCCCCTCTGCCCATTTTGTCCTTATGGAGGACCTTCAGAATGAAAATGGCTGTGCAGAGGTACCCACAGTGCCTTCCAGGACAAATAACACTACAACTTACCCCTGGATGGGGGCCCAAACTCAAGAAGGATCAACTCTGACCTTCTGCCACTGGAGACTGAGAAGGCCTCTTCCCCTCCACTGGCCCCAAGAACTTGGAGGCCACCTCTCTACAGATCCTGGCACACAGGCTAGATGTGGACTCCAGCTGTGTCGGATTGTTGGCTTCTCGCCTCTCTGCCTTGGGGGATATTTGTCAGGTTGGACAGTGGAGCATGGGGCTTCTGTCCTTCAGGCCCCTCCTCTTGAGCAGAGTTCCAGCCTCGACCTCTGAGCTTCATAAACAGTGATGGCATGGCTCATTTTACACATTGCTGGAACTTGGTGACACTGGAAAGAAGCTCTCAGGAAGGCTTTCTCTCTCTGTCTACCTCCACAACCTTCCCTATTTGGATCCTTGAGATCCCAACCTCTACCCTATTTGCCCTGGGGACCTGGAATGCAATGTGCCACTCTTTAGCTTCTTCACAGGCTCAGGCCATTTACTCTGGCCCTCGATTAGCATTCACAGGCTGTCTGAGTCAGCAACAACGCACTAACGCGTTTGGGCAAACCCTGCCAGCTTCAGCTCAGAAACACTGATGGGAAACCTTGATTTAAAGCTAACGAGCTCTGTGAGCCTGATTAAATCCCTCATTAATGGTACCAGCATGCATCACTTTGGTCTCACCACTCATAAGACAGTGTAGCCCTGAGCCTCAGGCTCCAGAACCTTCTATTTACCCAGCGCCCCAGATCCCTCTGTTCATGACTTCTCCTACCTCCTTTCACAAGCCCAGCTCATTGGCTAGTGTCCTTCAAGGTTCTTAGGCAGAGGAGGTTCCATGTCCCCTGAATTTCATCAGCCAACTGGCCCTGCTCCCCTGACCAGCTTCTCAGGTCCTGACCAGAGCCCACGGTGGCCTCCTGGGACCCTTAGTGGCCCTTCCTATGCTAGCCAATCTCCTGCAGCAACATCCACAAGGTCCAGAAGATTTGAGCCTCTCCTGGTCTCAGTAGGTGCCAACCCTGGACCTGCCTGTGGGTTAACCCATCCTGGGCCAACTCCTGTGTGGCTGTGCTGTGTACGAAAGATGCTGAAAAAGATGCACAAAGATCCTGGTGCGTGGCTGGGCTGCCTGCAATGCTGTCCCATGGACCACAGGCAGCCCAGCCATGCACCCCAATAAGGCTCCTGACTGCACACTGCACATCCCAGCTTCTACAGAAGCTGAGGTACCCTCCAGGTATGCTGGGGTGGATCCTTCAGCACCTTTCAGGCCATGTGGAACTGGGCGTGCTTTTGTTTCCTTCTCAGAGTCCCATCTCTCCAAAAATTAAAGCCTAGACACCCCAAGCACAAATTTAAATTCTCCCACAGCAAGTGTTACAGGGCAGGCAGAGGAGGCTGCAACCAGTTGGCAGACAAGGGCCCCTGGGGCTCACTTGAATCGGTGGCTCCCATCTGCAGCCTAGGTTGCTGGGTTTAGGCAGCTTCCCACCCTTGAGACACACTGGGGACTCGGCAGTCACAGCTCAGGCTATTGTGGCTCCATCTGCCTTCAACTGTACTCACAATTCTCTGCTCTTCCTGCTCTGCCTAGCCTGGCTGCCCCTCCCCTCCCTTGTTCATTTTTCAGGGCACCTAAAACTGTGTAGATGGTTCCCTCTGAGGTTGCTGTTGGTCTTATGTTTGCAGACATGTCCGCAGTGCGCTCTCTGAGGAAAATAGTCTCTGAGGGTGGCAGTGCAGCCCATCTCCATCAAATTCTGGCCTTGCTTCCATCTGACACTCCCACAAAGCCCCAGTTGTGGAAAAGGTGATAGTAGAAACCACTGGGCTCAGCACTCTGCATACTAGTTCTGGCTGCTTTGTTCTTCTCATAGTGCCAAGAGTAAGGTACTCAGAATGCCCAAAGGACAATGCTGTCCCATGGACCACAGGCAGCCCAGCCATGCACCAGGACAGTAGGATCCTCGAGTGAGCTGTCAGCATTTCACTGCCAAGGCTGTTGATGCAGGGTGAAGAATGATGGGTCCTCAGGTTCCAGTTCTGCACCGTAGAGCACCCAGGAAACCAGAGGAAGCAAAAGCATTTGGGTCCTACAGCCACCCAGTGTGAGTTAGTTCAGGACTCGGTGAGCTAGTCAGTAGCTAGGGGAGGGTGGATCCCAGATTTTGTCTACCCCTGAGAGGGCCCCACCACAGCAGCATTTCAGAAGCAAGTGGGACCCTCTGTTTGCCCTGTACCATATGGAGAGCTTCTGGGCTTCCAGAAGAGGGAGCCCCAAGTCAACAAAAGAGTGGGGACTCCCCCTGTCCAGCAATGGGACCAACCATCTGGCTAGCAGCTGCTGATTGCTGCTGGGAATGGCCTTCCTCTCTGCCAGCACCAGAGTCCTTTCAACCTTCACCAGCTCCAAGTCCTGTCCAGATAGACACAGAAAAGGCGGTCTGCACCTTTTGCATGTATCTGAGCAGGTAGGAGAGATACAAAGGTGACCTTGGAAGGGTGGGGACTTCTGAGTGTCTGTCCTCAGGAACTTGGTCCTGGGCTTCTTATTGGCTCCCTACCTACTCTTCTGCCTACCCAATACCACCCAGGAAATGCATGTCTTTCCTTGCCATGGGTCCAATACGCTGTTTAGAGTAGATTCAGTACTTGATCCCAAAATTCAAAGGTGGAGCAAGCAGGGTGTGGATCCCAGAAAGGCCCAGTAGCTAGATGCCTTCCAGGGCTTAAGGCTCAGCTGGATGGCTGCAGAAGACAGAGCCATTCAGAGGGAAGAGCAGGAACCACAGACCTTGCCATTCCCTGCCATCTGCTCATTCTTTAGCCCACCCTCAACAGAAGCCCGCCCACAACACATTCTGGAAAACCACCCGCAGCTCCTTCTACAACCCGAGGACGTGGCTAGCACTCCACTTAATTAAAGAGGAAGGGAATCCCAGTCATTCTTAATCAAATGGGAGCATTTGTAGGTCAGATGGGCACCCCAGGGCCTGGAGGGGGCTGTGGGCAGATGGCTGGGACTAGGGGGTGGAAGGGCTTCTGTTTGCTTTGTTTGTAAGCACTGTGGGAGCTGCTGCCCACCCAGACCCTGAGGGCTCAGAACATCACCTCCCCACCTCACCCCCCACCCCGGCAGACTCAGCTCAGAAAGCCAGCTGCTCCTAGCCTGGGTCTCCCTGTGAGGGTCTCCAGGAAAGGCAAGTGTGAGGATGCCTACCTTCTGCCTTCTTGTCACCTCTGCCTGGGGTTTGTCTCCATGCAGACTTCAGCTCCCAGGAGCTGAGACAGAGTCTGAGCTGCGCTTGAAAGCTGGGTTTGCCCACTGGCTCAATGCCCAGTATTAGGCACAGCGTGAAAGCAGGACCAAGAAGAGCAGAGGCAAAGCTTTGTGAAGCAGCCACTTCTCTTGCTCCTCTTTACCTACTCCAAAGTCCCCTGCATCATTGGTCTTCCAGACTTGCACATGGCAGGGGCGTTAAGGTTACCTGCCTGGGATGGAACCTGCAGTCACCGCTAGAGGAGGAGGTCCAATCCATTCTCTGTGAGGAGAGCAGCAGAACTCGATCTCCAGACCTCAGAGCAGGCGGCCCCAGGTGCTGGTGACCACACCCAGCCCACTGGGCTTCCACTCCATTGGCCTGGTTTCTCTTTGCTCCCAGCAGCTTCCTTGCCAGCCTGGGGCCTAACCTCACCTGCCAGGGCCCGTGGGGCTTACTTGTTGTAGAGGACGATGTCGGGCCTCCAGATGAGCTCAGAGGGGATGCGGATGGAGGTAACATTCTCGTAGTCACCAGGGTCCCAGCGTAGCTTGTAGTCATGCCACTCCTGGGTGGGAGTGGAGAGCCATGTGTGAGGGGAGTACGGGGCAGGGGGCAGAGGGCAGAGGTGGGGAAAGCCCTCCCCACTCACCTGCTTCACCCACACATTTGTCGTCATCATCTGGTTCTTCTCATCCTAGGGCACAAGTAAGAAAGGAGCTTGAGGTCCCCCTCAGTAACAGGTATGTTCCAGCCTAGATCTGCTCATCCGTAGCCAGTCACAGGTAGGGATAAGCCAGGGCGAAACGTCTGGAGGGAAGGAGAGCCTCAGCCCTGAAGGCAACCCAGCAGGGATGGCAACGTGAGGGGAGCTGGGGATAGGAGACAAGGACCCTGGTACCTTTCCAGAAAGACACAGAGAGCTAAGCTCAGCTCCAAATGCACCTCAGGCGGAGTCTTCTTCCTAGAAATCTGACAGGCGCGTCCACCCACATTGTTCCCTTTGCAGATGAGACCCATGTGGGGCTGTTCCTGTGGCCACTGGCTTGGGAGATCTTGACAAAACGAGGGCTAAGGTGGATGTCATGGGGGTGATTCTGGTGGTTTCACCTCAAGGTCACCATGTAACAATGATTCAGGCGGCGGAAATCTAGGCCATAGACTACTCCTGTGAGGTCTCTTATAGCCACTGCCCCAATACACCTACCCTCCCGATGCCTTTATTTCCCCTCTGTGACATAGGAATGGGCCCCTCTGCTGCATCCTGGGTGAGGAACAGCAGGTTGGAGACCCATGTTCTGAGCAGTCAGCACCTAAAACAGACAGGACCTTTGTGGAGAACAAGCAAGTCCTGGTGCAGGCACAGGGGGTCTGTGGAGACAGAAAGGCAGCCATAGCCATACCTTCTAGCCACTGAGTACCCAGGAGGGGCCTGAAACCTCACACCCATAGTCTGGGGAACACTCGGCCTTGCCAGACAGAATGAAGGTCTGATGTGTGCATCTGATACTGGGCAGCGTACTTCCCAATCTGGACCAACATTTCCTTCATCAGTCTACACATGACAAACAGGCTTCTCAGAGGACCTAACCAAGGAGATTCCAAGACACCCAACAAGAAAGCGTCTTGCCCAGAACAATGCATGTATGTGTATGACTCCTGCCACACAAAAATCATGATAGACTAGCAAGTGTGGGGAAGCTGCACCCCCTGAATGCCCAGCCTCAGGCCTGGGTCCTCTCCAGGGCAGTCACCTAGGAAGGTCACCCAGTTGTCTGAGTGAGTCCCCTCCCTGGAAGGACACTGAAGAGAAGATGGAACGCAGAGCACAATCCAAAGTCTGCTGCTTCCTGTGCTGCCTGCATGAGCTAGTCTGCAGCCACCTCATCCCTGCATGACCTTGACCCACACCCAAGGAAGCTGGAAATGGAAGACTGCCTGCTTCATGCCATAGGGCCTCCAGGGTCATCAGAACAAATGACTGTGGCTGGGCTGGGTCCTCCTGCCCTAGCATCCCTTCCAGCTGTATGTGGCCATCACATTCCAGGGACCTTTGGATCCCGAAGACATGCCATAGAGCTCTGGAGCACATTTTACAAGGACTCAGCATTGGGTTAGGAAATCACTGGGGATTCAGTAGCCTTCTCTGCAGCCGGTGCTGGGTATGAACTCAAACAAGGCACACAGTCTCCATTACTAGGTGCAGATCTCAGAGAGGGTATCAGTAGTAGAGACAGTAGCTCACAAAGGGACACAGGCAGGACCAGCACTAGGATGGGGCACCTGGATCCCAGCCCCTAGCGAAAGAAAGCAAAGTAGGCCAGACACAAGGTAGACCTTTCTACGTAAATGTGGCCATGAATCGCTAACATATACGGTGCTAACCTAGAGCCAGCACTTCCCTTTGTAGCAAAGTCAAGAGTAGGTGCCTGGAAGGATGTGAGCCTTTGGGACACCCTCCAAGGAGGCCTAGGAACTATCTGTGTGCATGTGTATAACATGTATCACATGTGGCCTTAGCTAGATCTAGGGCAGAGGTCAGGCCTAGAAGCCGGGTCCCTCATAGAAATCATGGTGTTGGGTGTGCTCTGAGCCTCAGTGTCTCCTGAGGCAGAGAGCATGAGACTGAGCTTGACACGCTTAGGCACACCTGGTGGCAGCAGAGCCAGAGGCTTGAACTGCCACCAACAGTCGCCTCTGCCAGCCACCACGTTGTAACTGTGTTTGCAAACTTCAGCAAGGTTGAGGGGCTTGTACATCCTGCACTGTCCTTGATGGCCCCCAGCCAGGGATACTGCAGGAACCATTTGAAGGAACAAATGCTAGGCCCTCCTGAGAATGAAAGTCTGAGTGGCTGGCTCTGCATAGAGCTCACTGGCAAGGGTCTCCGGGTCCAATCCCATCAGTCTGGAGCCTCGGGATTTTGCTGGCACTGTCAAAGATGGCATACTTGCTCTCAGCTCACATCAGGAAAGCACATGGAATGGCTGAGAATCAACCAACATGTTCAGTGCCAGCCTCGAGCCAACATTACAAGTTGTAGCAGGGTGTGCAGGGACAGCTCTCTTGCACATCGGATCCAGGCTTTGTCCCTGGACCCAGCAAAACCCAGTGTGGAAACCCCAACTTGCTAAATCAGATGGCTTTTGACTGCCCCCACCGGTAAGGTCACGCCTTCCCAGCATCACTCCTCCAGCCAGAAGAGAACCTATGCTGAGGCCCAGCATGACATGGGTGTGTCCAAAGGCTGGTCCCACACCATAAGGAGCAGCTGAGCCTGGCCAGGAGAGGCTGGGTGCTAACAGAACATATCAGCTTAGTCTCATCTCAGACTAGTCTCCTAGTGTAAAGTATACTTCCCTGGGCCACAACCTTAGAGGAAGCTCACCGCCTGGCTCACATATGTCCTCCCAGAACTCTTCCTGGACCTTCACTAGGAAAATGAACATATCCAGATAGACAGGACCTGTCTGCAATTCACCCAAGCCCCACTTTCCACCCTGGTTGGTAACCTGGTGGCCTCTGGGATCAGCCTGAGATCAGAGTACCATAGTGTACTCTGTGCCCCAGTGTACCATAGTGCCCACTTGAATGGTGTCACAGCCAAAGTTTCCACAGCCTGGCTGCTGAAGAGGGCACTGGCCCTCCTATACCCAGAAAAGCCTTTTCTGTTCTTTATTCCAAAAGATGCCCTGCTTTCTTCAGGAAATGTGGCCACTGGCTTTCCGAAGGAACAGGTCCTAAGCCGAAGAGCTCAGCTCCCTTCCCCAGTGCTGAGGCTCAGGACGACTCTCTGCTGTCAACCTTGGTTGGACCCAGCCACATGGAGTCTCAGGGTAGAACCGTCTGCAGTGACCCCATTTCCCCCTGTAACACCAGGCCACCCCATACCTACCACATCAATGAGCTGAGCAATGGACAAGCCAAAGCGGACAAGGACCACATCTGAGATATTGGCTACTGGCCGGGACCACTTGTTGTAGCCAGAGAAGAGTCTCTTCAGGAGCCGCTCCTCCGCATGGGCCCGGGTCTCTATGTGGCTGCTAGCTGTGGGGGAGGCAGGAGGTTTAGGGATGGGTGACCACAGAGGCTGCCTCTCCAGCCTCACACCACGCCCCATGCCATCACAGCCCCTTCCCTTTCCACATCACCTTCCACCTGAGGACCCCAGAGCATGCTGTCCTGTCTTCCCTGACTTCCTTCAGAGAAGCCTTTCCAGGGTTCTAAGAATGGGTCAGGCCCTCCTCCAGAAGAACAAGGCAACTGACAGTGAACACTGAATTAATTGCACGCAGCTCCCCTGCAGACAAGCACTTTGAATGGAAGTGCCCTATCTCCAGTGACCGGCTGAGACAAAGGACATGAAGTGACAGGAGCATGGGGAAGGGGCAGGTGTGTGAGGCAGCTAGGAGTGGGGGAATGAATGAAAGGGGACTGCGGGGAGCCTGAGCCCACGTCCACAGGAGTGGTCCTGCTGCCTGGCCTTCTAGTATACACCCTGAGGACGACTGCAAACCCTCGGGGCCACCAGTGCCCTGTGTTCTTAGACACAAGATGCCCTGGATAAGCTCCACACTGCTCCCTGGAGAGGGTGGCTCCTCATTCCACCAGCCAGCCGCTCATCTGTGTCCTCTCCACCGGCCCTCTACGTGGCTAGGGGGCCTCCCTGCCTCCATTTGTTGGGTTGCTGCATCAAAAAGGGGGTTGGGAAGAAGGAGGGGAGCCCCGGCCTGTCTGTTAACTCCTGCTCACCTGAGAGCCGCAGCAACTCTTCAGGAGGGGAATCCTAGAGTCTCCTGCCACCACCCCCACCCCCCAGCCTCTTCCTCCCTCAACCTCATTCTTCCTGGTCTCTTGGACCAACCAGTAAGGCACAGCCCCGCTGCTCAATGGGAAGGCCAGGGGTTAAATAACTGCAGCATGCCCCTCCACGGGTTATGGGTGAGAGGTGTCCGCTTAGAGGATGAGAGGTGGAGGAAGCCTGGGGGAGCAGAAAGGGTAGGGTGGGAGCTACCAGGGGCAGAGGCAGATCCCTGAAATTAGGAGCAGACACGGGGGCGGTCTGCTGCAAGATTTGGCAGGATGGAACCTCCCTCCCAGGTGGACTCCACCTCTATCCTAGTTCTGATTCCAGATGGGAAATGCAGCCAGACCACCCTCCCCCACCCCCACCCCCGCCTCCACTCAAACCCCATCTCCCAGCACTTAGAGGCTGATCCCTTCCTCACTGGCTCAGCTGGCACCGCAGGACATCGGAGCTGTAGTGGTGGAGGAGTCTCTGTGGCTATCCCGTTGCGTGCACCCGCGGCTTGGCACCGCAGCCCGGGGCCTCTTCTCCCCTGGCTCCGGAGTCCCAGGTGCCAGAACCAGGGAGAAAAAGGCCCGTTCCGCATTTCGAAACTTACCAGGCAAGAGGCCGGCCCCTAAGAGCAGCAGTAGCGGCAGTAGCAGCAGCGGCGGCGGCGCCCCGGGGCCCCCGAGCTCCATGGCGCACCGAGCGGGCTCTAGACCCGGGCGGCTCCCGACTGTGCCGCGCCTCCGCTCCGAGACCCGCGCGCACCCAACTTCATGCCCCGTGCCGCCGCCGCTCGTCCCCAAGCCGGGCTCCGCAGCTCGTCCCGCGGGGCGCGGCGGCGGGGCGGGAGCTCGAGGTTGTGGGCTCCGCGGCACGGCCCCGCCCGGACCTGCTGCCTCCAGCCGCGGGCGAGAGGAAAGGAGGGGGAGGGACTGAAGAGAGGAGGGAGAGGGCGGGAGGAGGGGGCGGACCGGGCCCCGAGGGTATGTGGAGGCCGTGCTCGGCCCCTCGTGGGGGTAAAGTTTCCTTGTCCTCCTGGGGCTCGCGACGTGCCGGGTGGGGTTAGGGACCTCCTGGTCATCCCAGCAGTCCCAGCGCCTTCTAGAAACAAGCCCCCAGCCCTGGTCTCCAGCCCTAACCCTGCCGACAGCGTGGAGACTGCGGGCGTGCATTCAAGGACTGTGCGCGCTAGGAGGGCTCCCTTCCTGGCTCTGGCTAACTCCATCACTTCACCCTGCCTTAGCGTGACTGTTTGCAGTTTGGAAATAACAAGTCTCCTTCCTTAGGCCAGCGTTGAGGAAAAAATCATCAGCCTGCCGCCTTCCTCCTGCACCGCAAGCCGATCCTGCGATCCTGCGACACCCAGCCTCCCCCCCCCCCCCCGCGCCACCCTTCTAATGAAAAGAACCTGGTGTCTGGACCTTGAGTCTTCACAGGGCCAGCCCGGGACCAGAGTCCATCTTTGTCTCTTTTGAGCGTGCAGGTTCTCTGCTCCATCGTGAAAGCAGCTCCCCACCCCAGCTCTGTGAGCAGTGAGCTACTGGCCAGAGAGGACAGGTGCTTGAAGAAAACCTATTGGGTGCTGGGGATGATCCTGAGAGATGCCACTAACGAGGAGGTGCTCAGGGGCTGTGGTTCCTAGGGCGCGAGGGGCGGGGGCCGCATCTGAACAGCAGGTGCTGAAAGGAGAAGCAGTGGCTTGTGGGCCTGAGTTTCCAAAGAAGGAAGAAACCCACCCACCGCTGTCCCATCTCAAAAGCCAGATGTGGCCCAAACTTACCTTGTCCCAAAGACTCTGCAGCCACCTCCGGACACCCAGATGGAGTGCACCAACTCCTGAAGTTGGAGGCAAGGAAGTGCTGTCTCTGGCCCTGTAGCACAAGCTCCTCTGTCCCCAGGCGTGATGACTCTGAGGGTGACTGTCCCTCCGGTCTTCCGTTTCTACCCCTCAACAGCACAAGGGCAGTTTTCATGGTTCAGTTCCTGCTCCCATGCCTGTCCTCCTCTTTCCCATCTCTCCGCCTTGCCCTTCCTCCTGTTTACCCCATCCAACAGTAGTGTTCCCAGCTCTCTTGCCCTCTGGCCTACAGTGAATACATATGTCACACACCTGCTCTGGGACCTTCAGACTCCTTCAGGTCACAGGAGCCATCTGCCTATGCTTTGTGAGCAGAGCCTACAGCACCGACTTCCAAAACATTCTCCTCCTGGGCAGACGACCTGAACAGTGACCATTGTTTTCCTGTGCCTTCCTAGATGCTGAGGATTTACAGGTAGGCCAGACTCCCACAGTACCCTCAAAGGCTAATTCTTACTTATGTCTTGTCTAAGAGGAAACGAATGCAGAACGATTTAAGCAAGATCACACATTCAGCAGTGAAATTCCAAAACAGCCTACTGAGCTTCAGAGCAGGCACCCTGGCCTCCTGTGGCCTTGTGCACCCATTCCCTTTCTGCCTGGACTCTTTCCAGGAGCCAAGGGAAGCCTGTCTTTCCCAATAAAACTCCATCCTTTCCACTAGGGCTAATCCTCACCCTCCCCTTTGCGCCTCCCCCCCCCCTTAGTTAATCCTCAGTCACATCAATCCCCCAAAGAGTCCGACCCTGGCTCACACTTCAGGTATTTTGTAGCCCCATCCCTCCAGTCTCTGGGTGTTTTCAAACACACTTGTAAGCTTGGACCAAAAATCAGCTGATGGCTGAGCACTTCCTGCGAGGCAGAGAGCAAGCCTGTGTACGTCTGGCACGGTGGACCCTGAGGCAGCTGGGGAGAGCAGCAAGGCTAGTGGGTCTCCTGTGAGAAAACTGCAGCTGCACCTGGGTCTGCAGTTCGTGATGTGACACACCTGCTTCATGTTAGCACAGAACAAAGGGATCACCCTGCAGGACCAGCTCCATCTTCTTTTATTAATACCAAAAGCCAAAGGTGGGTGCAGTGGAGGTGCATGCCTTTAAGTCCAGTTCTCAGAGGCTGAGACAGGGGGATTGCCACAAGCTCAAAGTAAGGCTGGGCTACATAGTGAGTTTGAGGTCAGTCTGGCCTACAGCGTGAGGTCCTCATAAATATATCGAAGTAGCCAACCATGATTCAGGTCCCGTGGAGTCTCTTTCAGCTACCCTGGAACTCTGACTAGGCGTTGTCATGTAGACACAGCTGTGGAGGAGAAAGGTAAGCAGAAAAGGCGTCTCACTGCCTCTGAGTGATACTTGCTTCCTAGGTTCGGTGATGAAGGCCCTGACTTCTGCCCCACCGCAAATCAAAACCTCCTTTAGGGCAAAGCTTCTTTGTTTTCTCCTTCCTGAGTCCAACCCTCAGTTTCATCTTTTGGCTGATTTGAGCTGGGCCTCCTTTGAATGTTGTTCTGGAGTCAGAGGGTGAGAGCGGTGTGGTGAGCTGGGTGAGCCCTCAGAGGTTCCCTAAAGAAAGCACATAGGAGCAGTGTGGTGGATGTTCTGGTATCCACTTATATCTGGGCATTTGTTTAGTGTATAGACTTTGGCACAGTGGGTGAGTCACTGAGTCTGTTGGCACAACCTCAGACCTGTGATTGTCCCCAGCCCTTTCCAGACAACTCAGATTCAGGAGCCCCAGACCAAATCTGAGATAGAGCCTGGCTTACCCCTGAGTCAGGGGTGACTTAGGGCTTCTTGGGGGCAGCTCAGCTCTGTTGCCTGTTTCTCTTCACAACCTCTAGAGACAGGCTTTGTGCCCAGCCTTCTAGGTTTAACAGTCTGGGACCATGGCTCTCATCAGCAGGCCATCTCTTCTGGGGCAAAAGGCCAGGTTGGGGTCAGCTCCACCCTCAGGGCATTGCTGACAGAGCCCTGTGGACCACGTGCACTGGCTCACACACATCTGCCTGGCTGGTTGACTTTCCCTGCGGATTTGCTAATGCAGCAGATTAATCAGTCTCACTCATTAATGTGTAGGGCCCCTTCTGCCCCACCTGCTGACTGACTAGAAAGCACTGCTAGGGACCCTGGGAATCCTGGCTTGAGTAAGGCTCTTTTTACTGCAGGCGCTAGGCAAGAAAAGCCCAGTTTGCAAGTCTATAAACCACTCTGGGAAGAAGGTTGGGGTGGCCCTGAGGCCAGAGACTTGTGTCTCTGAGGGTGGGAAGAGGAGCAAGCCCCTGAATATGCCTCCCTCCCTGGCTATGTTACCCCTGTTCCTGGATCGTGCTGCTCAACTGGACAGGTAGTTCCGAAGATACAGGCCTCTGAGGGGACTTCCCTCCCTCTCTCTCTGTCCTCTCTACCCTCCACCCTGTCCCAAGGACATTTCCATGGTAACCATCTGCTGGTATAAACAGGAATTCATAAAACGGTTGTGTCCGCTACACCAGGCCTCTATCCCACAAGGATGTGAATTCAGGAGGGGGAGGCTCTGGGCCTCACTCACAGGCATGAATGTCAGTGTGGCTGGGCATGTGTGTTGAGATGGAGGAATGGGTGTATGACAGGGGGAATGAAGGAGGGAAGGAGGAGGAAGAGGGAAGAATAAAGGGAGGGGGAGAGGGGATATCTGCCTCCAGGGCCTTGCCCTGTCACTCTCAACCCTGCCCCTGGTTCAGGCTCAAACAGACTGAGGGGTTCTCTGTTTGAGATGATTAGGGCTCATGGGCAGGTAGCTAAAGTGAGCAGCAGGAGCACAGGGAGGGAACCCAAGGCCAGGTCTTGTCAGGCAGGAGCCCGAAGGGCTCAGGGCATCCACTCCCACCATCACCTCCACTGTATGGGTGGTCATGAGTGCACTAGGCCTGGCTGTACTTCCTGCCCCGCTCTGAACTCATCCTGACCCCTGGCTGCTCTAGGTGTCCTTAGCCCAGAACACTAACAGTCACCCCAAGTGCTAGTCATGTGCTGAAACAGGGTGGGCAAGCTACAGGCTGGGCCCGGTGCCACGGTAGCAGCTCCAGGCCTGGGGGTCCTTGGCACCCTGCAGTATGGTTCTGGATTAAGAGGACTTGTTATCCAGGGTCAGCAGCTGCCAGGATGCTAGCCAGGACCATCTGTGGCCGTGGTTAGAGTTTGAAAGCCCACTTTTTTAGCCTCAGTAGCCTGAAGACCTGCCTCACCTGACTTCCTGTAGGGACTCCTCTTTGCCAATAGGACATTGATTTGCAAAGTTGGGGCAGTCAGTGCTCTGCCCCTCTGCCCCCACTGGCACCTCTGCACTCCACACGGAATTGTCTATAAACACTCTAAGGAGGGCTCCGACTCCAGGGAGCACTGTGGTGATGAATGAGAGTGATCACCCCGCTGGCTCCAAGTTTTACTGTTGGCCCAGAGACAGCATCAGGGCTGGCAGCCAGAGCTGATTTAAAACCCTCCCATGCAGTGACCTCATGCAAGCCATTCACTTCCCCGAGTCCTGGTTTCCTCAGCTGTTGAATGAGATAGCAATGGTCCTGTGTTCTCAGTGCTATGAGGAGGGTGGTAAGGACCAGGTGTCTGGATTGCCCTTTAGCTTCCTGGCAGTTTGGGGCTCTCGGGGAAAAAAATCCCAGTGCCAACACCCATGATCTACAACTCAGGTGCCTTCAGAGTGTAGGCATGGGGCAGACTAGGTATAACACAACCCAAAGGGTGGCCCTGTTACCTGGTCTGTGCCTCACCACTTATGGACCCAGAGCTGAGGAACATTGGCTGTGACCCCCATCAGGGACCACAGCCACACTCAGGCCCCATCCCTGGCAGCCAGAGCCTAAATCTCTCCATACCTGCTGATCCCCAGCCCTGAGGCACAGCTTGGGCTATGCAGCTGAAGCTGAGGCAGGTGGTGGGTGTCAGGCTCTTTGTG